ATTCCTGGTTTGAAAAAATTAGGGGAAAGAGGGGAGGGGGAAGAAGGAGGATTGATTTTTGCATAACTTTTCAATGGTACTGAGTAAAAAAAGTCTTTTTTCTAAGGCAGTATGATGGGTCGTAGTGTGGCGTGGTGCGTTTACTATGTGTGCAAATGGGTGACTAAATAAATATGGCTTACTTAGGATGGAGTATGCAGAAATGGTTAACAAATAGTACAAAGTGTGGCGCTTAGAATCTGAAGATTTAATGACCTGCCGAACAAGTGGTGCTGGGTACCGAACAAACGAATAGCAGGGATTTTTAATGCTAAGAACTGAGTTGCTGTTTACTGGAAGCTCTCGAGCGAAGGAGCCGAACTGTATTGGTGGACGTCGATGATCTTCCTAGGGCGGTGGAGTCGAATAAGGTACATGGTGAAGCTGCTACTGGAATGGAGGCTGTTGCTCGCTCTAGAAACTCAAGTCCCAGGATGAAAAGAATGGAAGATTTATAAAGGGGAGTAAGGCCCGCCTCATAAGGTGATGTAATGGTTTTGGAGGGGTTTTGGAATGTAGGAAAAGGATGATAAAAGGGAATAAGGGAAGGAGGGCTAAAAAGAGTTAGGAGAAGAGGTAATGGAAAACGGACAAAATTTTTGGGGGGATAAAAAACTCTGAAACTAGTCTAAAACTTAAACAATAAAAATAGTCTAAAACTTAAACATTCAGGAATGCGGAAGACAGCATTTCTTTGTCACTGGCTTAAAAAATGGGAAAAAAACGTTACGCAATTTTATAATTTTCATTACACATTATTTACAACATTGCACTTTTTTAGAGTAACCGGGCAATTGGTGAGAAAACAAGATTGATGATAAAAAAATGGACCGAGAATGAATGCAAGCATGAACCGTCGTTGGGTTTGATTGAAACACTGTACAAGAATTTGGTCGCTGATGGGCAATCTTTTGAACCGGATAATCCACCAAAATCTAGGGTACGTTAATTTATTTTGCTTTTATTATCACCGTTATCAGCAGTATGGTTGTAATTTTTACTGTTACCCTTTTAATGACAAATCTCAGCCCCCCTTTCCCCTCCCCTCCCCCTGGCCCTCTGCCCTCCTTCCTAAATGTTCGGGGATTTGAAATTCGTGGACCCTAAATAACAACATTTTTCTTAAAGTAGATGAATTTAGTGTTTACTTGCTACAGTTATATCGCTGAATTGTGTTCCTTTTTATTTTCTACATGAATTATCGGCCCAGTATCGTTCCCTATAAAAGCACTTTGACAAGATTTTAGCCAGTGAGTGGTTGAAGATGTGTTGGGCATCATCACCTTGTCTTCAGATGTTCCCACTTGTACACACATGAAGGCCTGTTGCCATCTAAGATCCGCTTGGGGGAAGAATTTCGAATAAATAACAGCGCAAGGCCTGCTAAAAATTTAACTGTTTTACACTTTCGTTTATGCAGAAATAATCCATATATTGTCTGGCTCCTAAGCTACGAAATTTCCCACTAAAAATTTCACTTGTTGGTACGTAAAGCTGAATTTAAAACCCTGGACATTCTCCTAAATTTCAACTTCGTGGCTTTCTTGGTTCTCGGGATAATAATTTTCCTACCAAAACTTTCACGACACCGTAAGTGACATTCACGAATATGAGGTGGCTGGATTTAAATCTGTGAGGTTGCACGTGGGCGGGAAACGCTCTACTAAAATTTCAACTTCCTGGCTTCCACGATTCCCAAGATAATAATTTCCCTCGCCAAAATTTTTTTTCACGGAACCGTACGTTTGTACTGCTGTTACATAGCGCAAAACGCATAATAAATCAGTGAATTTATTGACAAACTTTTGAATTTTTGAATAAATCAGCAGTGGGTTTGTTGGGATATATGCAGATTTCTTGCTTTATTCAGATTCATTTTTAAGCAGTTTTGTCAGCCTCGGTGTGCATTCTTAAATTATTTTCACTGTGGTGCGGCATGGTAAGAAGGGAAAACAGGATGGGATGTTGTTTATGGAAATTTTTTGAATAAGCTGGTGTTTTTGCAGTAGCACATTTTGCCTTCTTAACAGCGTTCCGGATGCTTTTCCATGGTTACCATGAATGAAACTGCAGCACTGATTACACCGTTTTTATGCGTTTTTGCATATATGCAAATGCAAAGAAGCATGTTGGCAACAGGTTGTCTGCGTATGTGTGTTCACACTTTTTGTTATTACCCACTTCCAATTCGAGAACTTGAAAAGCTAGAAAGCTGAAATTTTGGGGTAATGCTGCCTCTCCAAGCATAACTTAAATATTTCAGATTCAACCTCCAAGTATGCGTGCTTCTCACGTACAGGCACTTAAATGTTTTGGCCGGAAAATTGCTCAGTGAACAATTTTTTCAAGGCCACTAAACGGAAATTGTTCATTTTCCTTAAGCAAAATTTGTGGTGATTTACTAGTGAGAGCAAAAGACAGGTATAAAGCAATAACCATCCATGCAGTTAACGACCCGAGTACTTCAAGTCCACTGCGAAAACTTATAATCGCACTGGCAAGCCTGACGCATTCCAGCCTGGATCTTTCTTTCGCCCTTCCCGAATAAAATTTCCCTTAGTCTTTAGCATTTAAATACATGTTCATCCCCAAACAGGACCAGTAGCAGGCTGTACTGATGATTCCCACCTCTGCCCGCGCATGTGGCTGCGTTTGTGTTTATAGCTAAGAGGTGAAACACAGACTGTTGCACGGTTTGTTTTTCGGAACAAGTAGTACTCTCAGGTGCAGTGTCTCGATCTTTATATTATGTACTTATTGCATTCTCATTCTTTTGAAGATTTTTGCATCGTATTAATCTTCTAACGAATAGGCAGTTTGTTCGATTTGGAATAAATTTGAGCGTATTTTTGAAAAACCTCAAATTCTCGTATTGGTGTTTTTGCAGTCCGTCAGCACGGATCCAAATGCTGTGCAGAGCGCCGAAGAGGAGGAAGCACTAATGCTGGCAATTGCAAAATCATTGCAGGAAACATCGGTTCGAAACAACAATCCTCCTGCATCCAGTCTTTATCCATCAACTGCATCGACCGGACCAACTAATGTCGCTTCAGTTCTAGCCAGACCAGTACCAAAGTTTGTGCTTTTTTTCACGACATTTTAAGCAAAATTTGGCGAGGGCATGAATAGTTTCACAGAGAAAAAATGCTTCAAAATCGATCGAAATATGCTAATTTTTGTTAAGATGAGGATAAGTGGGATTAAAGGCGTTAATATGGAGTTAAAAGATCAGAAATCCATACTATTTGCGGAAATTAGATGCAAAAAAGGGGTTTATTAGGTGCAAACAGAGGGGCTAGGAAGTGTGATTTTTGATTTAGTGGATTTCGAAAAATTACTGGTTTCAGACCGGAACGTGAAGTACGAGCGCTATACGATTTTGAAGCTGCCGAAGACAATGAACTAAC